AGTGAGTGAGTGAGTGAGTGAGTGAGTGTGTGTGTGTGTGTGTGTGTTTATTCAATCAGATGTTCTGCTGCTTTTCTGTTTGTAAAGTGGGAACACAGATGCGTCAGTCAGAGAGATATTTGTTCTTCACTGACCACCAGGATTATTACTAGCAATAACTAAACCGACAAAGCTGAAATAAAACAAAATAGAAATATTATATGAAAAACTTAAACTAAACAAAAATGACAAATGTTGCCTTGGCAACTAAATGAAATACTAACATACTAAAAAAGTGCTAAAAATTAAATAAAAAATGAAAATATAAAAATAAAAGCTCATTAAAATGCAAGAGATAATAGAAATGGATGGAACTGCTGTGTTAAAGTTGTAAAAAAATTATAAAATAAAATAAAAATAAAAACATTATAAAAAGCAAAAAAATAACAGAAATAAAAGCAAGAGATAATAGAAATGGATGGAACTGCTGTGTTAAAGCTGTACAAAATCAAATAAAATAATAAAATAAAAAATAGTAAAATAATTTAAAATAAACACTATAAATTGATAAATGATAAAATTCTGAAGCAGTAAAATTACTAAAATTACTGGAAATAAAACAAACAGTAAAACTGAACTAAAACCAAATTAAATTTACTAACTTGAAGAAAAAAAAACTAAAACAGAACTAAAGCTAAATTTTAAAATAAAGTTAAAACCTAAGATTTAAAAAAAATAAACTAAAAAGAAAATTACCATTGAAAATATAAAATTAAACAAAATGTAAATAAAACACTATAATATTATAGAATTAATACTAAAATAACACACACACTGGCCTACAGCAGCTCTGCTGATTGTGTTCTAGTGAATTTACCTGGAGCCAGAGCTTGTAGTTGACGTGGTCTTTGGGCTGGCCGTTAATGGTGCACTGGAAGGTGGCCGTCTGTCTGGCGTTGACCTCCACGCTCTTAATGTGCAGGAAGTGAGGCGTGTTCACTGACAGACACACAGACAGACAGAGAATCAGTGAGCCACAACTGAGAACATTACAGTGAATCAACTCAAACGACTCCGGACCTCCGGACGTCTTTCACCTGTGAAACTGCAGCGAATCAATCATAAAATGGATCGGCACACGTTCACTCAGCACATTTCCATCAGGATATTACAGGATCAGCCGCTGCGGTTCAAGGGCAGCGAGGAGTGTTTTCCAGATGCAGCACTTAGAGAAACGCGCGAGGAAAGGTCAGAGAGACACAAAACACATCAGCCTGAATGAGAAACCGGCCATCAGCCCCAGAACCCAGAAAAACTGAGAGACAACCAGCGGAAAGTGAGATGAGATAAAATAGAAATCTTGGAAGGAAGTTAGAAATGTTACCTGAGCAACTAACTGAAATAAGATTAAGTTCAAGCACAAAAATTACTAACTGGATTAATTTAGTATTTTAGTACTATA